TCCAATTATTTCTCTTAATAAGAAGGAAAAAAGGAAGAGAGCAAAAAATTAAAGAATTTACATTCTAGTTCCTGGAATAAAAGGTTGAAATCCCAATATAAAAATCCAACTGAAGGAGAAGTAAAAGAGAGAGTGAAAAGTAGCAAACAGTTCTAATGTGAAGCCAACCACTGCCACTGAGTATCCAAGGCTGTTAGATAAATCAACTCAAAGTTCCTAGTTCCAGTATTTTCAAGGTCACTTCAATCTTCTTTCTTTCAACTTCAACTCCAGACTCTAGTTATCTATAATTTCACAGATGGGCACCTGCGTAAACAATCTGCCATGCTCATCCCACTATCTTTTCCAGTGCAAAACGCAAAGTCCTTGAGTATAACACAGATGCATAAACAAATAGAAGAAAAAGAAACAATATGTCCAAGCTTCTAGATGGCAGTGCTACTTTTTTTCCTTCATTTTCACTCCCCCCCCTCATGTATCCAATGCCAGGAACAAAAGAAAAAAAATAAAATCCTTTCTTTTAAAAAGGAAGTAAATCTCAGGTCAAAAAGAAAGTCTTGGGTCAAAACAGACTTTCAAAAAATTGTTAAGAAAATACAAACAAGAATAAGAAATTTTAAAAAGGTCCAGTCCAGTTTAAAATTAAGAAGCTTTGCCAAGTTTTAAGTTTCAATAAAAAGAGGGGGGAGCTTTCACTTTAACTAGCTTAATTTCGCCGCTTAACTCTTTTCTCTTCACTTTTAATTCACTTTAAGTCTTTCAGGGTGTTCTCTTCAAGAAATAATAAGTAAAAGTTCATCTCACCAAACTGTCACACTTTCTTTCAATCTCTTCTGTTCCAGAGCTGTCCCAGCTTCAGCAACTTGAATGGCTGCCTCTCTGCCGCTGGCAAAAGGGGTTTTCCTGGATTGACCAGGGACTTTGCAATGTCCCTGGGATCCAAAGAGAAGTGCCCTCCTCAGTCACCATCTCTATGGGATGGTTTAGGTCTGGTGGGACCATCCTGCAATGGAGATATCCGTGGTGATCTTGGAGCTTCAAGATCGCACGCTGTACCGCCAAGATGCCCAGAAGTAACCCAGAATATTGAATGGATGGATAGATGAATGATCCAATCAGATACTTGTACTCCTTAAGATTATACAATGGAAGGATACAGAAGTGACCAAGAATATGGAAGGGAGGGAGGGAGGGAGGGAGGGAGGGAGGGAGGAAGGTGTAGGTCAATATTTTGGTTAATAATAATTTGTAATCATGATCTTGTTTTCCCATCAATGTGAATGTTTATATGTGGGTATCATTAAGCTCTTAGAATAGAGCTCAATCATTCCCACAAACATTCAGGAATAAAATGTTTGACATGTTGCTGAATTTGAAATATGCATCCAAAATATGATGGAGGACAGAGTTTGATATTATCTGAAGTGTTGCCAGTATCATTTTATTGCAATAATTCCTATTTAAATTCCATTTAATCCTGCAATATGGAAAAGAAAAGGAGACCATTGTTATCATCTTCATCTTCTTCACCAACATCTTCATCATCATCCTTCTCATCATCACCATCTTCATCATTTATTGATTAGATTTGTATCCCCCTCCTTTTTTTCATATAGGAGCTCAAGTGCTTTCCCATATTTTTCTAACAACAGCCCTGAGAAATAGGTTGGGTTGTCAGAGAAAATGGTTCAAAATTATTGAATAAGCTTCCACGACTGAAGATAAAGTAGAATTGGGACCATCTGTCCATTTTCAATCTTTTTAACTACTGTCCCACATTAACTCTCCTCATCATTATCAACTTTCACTGTCTTCTACATGAAATAGGCCACAATGATGCATATTTAAAAAAAGATGCAATAAAATCATTTTATGTCAATATCTTCTTTTGTTTTTGCAATTATCTTTCCTGATTGGGAACCTGGGAACAGCCTCATAAGAATGTCTCCTCCCAAAGGTATAATACTAAGATACTGAAATATTTCTTAAGTTTTTCTTGGTACACTGTTGGAAAGAGAAATAGGTGTTTGTTCCTTGTTAGTCTGATTGCTTGCTTTTCTGAAGAGAAAAAGGTAATGGTGAAATTCTCCAGATGTTAACCTATTACCTTTATTCCAGCTTGGAGGTCCTCTTAGCAACTGGAATGAAAAGGTAATATGGGTTTCTACTCCATTTGAGAACTTTTGAGCTCATTTTGGCAGGCTAGTGAGAAAAACTTAGAACAGATCATATCAAATGTCAGGGAAATCAGAAGATCCAGGCAGTTCAAATGGGTATAAAGATTTATTGCAAACTTCTGCTCTTTACAAGAATCTGAGCTACTAATGGTCAAAGCAAATTTGTGATAGATAAGAGTCAAAGGAATTCAAGGTGTGCTGGCTGAAGCAACTCATGATGGATAATGTGTTTAACTCCTTACACGGGCTCAGCCTGGTCATCTCCTATAGGTCAAATCCAAAGGAAGATCTAGTCTAGTTTGGATAGATGTTTGGGAAGACTAACAATGGATGAGTTTTATTTTTATATTTTCTACTTAATTCTGTCCTGGGTAATTAATTATTTGCCACTACACCAGTTTTCCCAGTTGCAATGTATGGCTGTGAAAGTTAGACTATAAGAAAGGCTGAGTGACAAAGAATTGAGGCCTTTGAACTATGGAGCTGGAAAAGACTCCTGCAAGTACTCTGGACTCCAAGGTGATCAAACAGGTCAGCCCTAGAGGAGACCAACACTGACTGCTCTTTAGAAGGTCAGATCTGAAGATGAAACTCAAATTCTTTGGCCGCCTAATGTGAAGGAAGGACTCACTGGATAAGAGCCTAATGCTAGGAAAGATTGAGGGCAATATAAGAAGGGAAGACAGAGAATGAGGTGGATGGATGGAGTCACTGAAGCAGATGGATGGAATCACTGAGGCAGAGTGAGCTTAAATGGACCCCGAAGGATGGTAGAGGACAGGAAGGCCTGGAGGAATGTTGTACATGAGGTTGCGATGGGTCAGACATGCCTTTACAACTAATAACAACAACACTGGGATAATATTCTCATACAACCATCATAAGTTTTTTTCTTAGATGATGTTTTATTGATTTCCTTTTGGATTTTATTTCTTTCTTTTATTGCTCATGAGAGCACACATCAAAAATCTGACACTGACTAACAAAACAGACTAAGAATATGAAGTGGGATGATTTCTAGGAAGATAGGCAATTAAACTTTTGTTCCAGTCTTTATGCAACATGTGGGATATATACATAAAACACATGTTAAAATGGCAATAAAAAGGTTAAATCATTTGAAGAGGAGGAAAAGAAGGGAAAGGGAAGTGTTTCAAAGATATCAAAGAAATGTAGCAGTGAGACAAAATTTGACGTGATGAGTAAAAGTAGTCTTATGATCTTCCAAAAATAGGAGATGCTTCTCTTTGGTGAAGAGATCTAAAATGGGGTTGATAGATATGCTACCTTTTTATATGAAATATGGATTGTAACTGTCCTTTACTGATGGGTGGAATTGGTGGAGTTGTGCTGTATTCATGTACAAGTGGGGAGGGGGCAGATAGCTCTCATTCCAATACCAATGACATGAATTGCTAGCATAAAATCTAAAGTAGTAAAAGCAAAAGAGCCATCTGTTTTTTGCAGTGTGGATCACAGAACTCTGAATGATAGATAGATGTTGTTGATGATGAAGATAGATAGATAGATAGATAGATAGATAGATAGATAGATAGATAGATAGATAGATAGATAGATAGAT